GCTACAAAAATGATCCGAGGGCTGGAGCACCTCTCCTATGAGGACAGGCTGAGAGAGTTGGGGTTGTTCAGCCTGGAGAAGAGAAGGCTGAGGGGAGACCTGATTGCAGCCTTTCAGTACCTAAAGGGGGCCTATAGGAAAGATGGGGAAAATCTTTTTAGTAGGGCCAGCTGTGTCAGGACAAGGGGGAATGGATTTAAACTAAACCAGGGTAGGTTTAGACTAGATATAAGGAAGGAATTCTTTACAGTGAGGGTGGTAAAACACTGGAACAGGTTGCCCAGAGAGGTAGTGGAGGGCCCATCCCTGGCAACATTCAAGGCCAGGTTGGATGGGGCTCTGAGCAACCTGATCTGGTTAGCAGTGTCCCTGCTCACTGCAGGGGGGTTGGACTAGATGACCTCTAGGGGTCCCTTCCAACCCAAAACATTCTATGATTCTATAAAGCCTCATTAGCATCAAACTAGAAATTACTGAAAACATGTATTTTTCTTGGTATATTGGAAAGTTATTTTCCAAAAACTTGTGTACACATACTTAAAGGTCGATACTTTGATGTATGTCCAAAAATGGTGCATAGGAGAACAATACACTTGTTTGGTATATTGCTAACATATTTACTACTGATAGAAAACCATTTTTCCCTCACCGCACCTTTTTATTAGACCATTTAGATTAGCTGGTAACTAACAGCTTAGAATAACTACTTAAATGAAAGCAGGATTTTCTGAGCATATAACTTCTCCTTTCTGAAGATTCTAAAGCATACAATACTGTGTTGTGGGGTGGGTTGTTTTTGGTTTTTTTCCCAAGTCTCCACATAGATATGCTAGATTTTTTTTATCCTGTTGCACAGCTACTCTTCAAGAATGAGCTATTTTTCATTTCAGTTCTATTTTAGACACTTCACTGAATTTGACAGCATTTGTCTACAGAAACAGGAAGCTACAGATGCTTTTTGTTTTCTTTCATTTTGTAGATAGTCTGAATTTTGTCTTAAGTGTCTTTCCTTACTGTCATAACACTCCAAACCACTCTTCCATCATTAGACTTTCCACAGTGATCTCCAAGAACTCTTCAGAACTGAAGTCCTTTCTGCATAAATACAGAATCTATGAGAATCCCCAAATATTTTCTGCATAAATTCATGTACATGTATTTTAAATATGAGGATGTGAGATTCTATGGACTACTGCCGCTGATGATAATTTGAGCAGGACAAATTCCAGTAGTTCAACAAAAATTTAAGCCCCAGTTGTGCACCTTTAACGGCCGAGATACTCAATACTGTTTGACAAAAAAAAAAAAAAAAAAAAAAAAAAACACACACCAACCACCAAACAACCCAACCAAACAAAAAAATCCAAACCAAAACCAACCAACCAACCAAACAAAAAAACAACTTTAAGGACTAGGAAGGAACCTCCATTTACATTTCATCAAGCTCAGTGGTTGCATCCCTTCTACAAGGCACAGGCAGCAGACAAATGATTTCTCTATTGGTAACATCTAGGAGCAGCTTTGGCTCTAAGATGTCATCCTCCCCCATATCCATGTGGCAGCCCATCCATCTGCCTCTCAAAAGCAAATCATCCTACTCCAGATTTTTTAGTACTGCCAAGACCACTCACGACCAGTATGAAACTAGAAATAAGACTATCTGACAAAGGAAAAGGGGTGAATGAGTGGAAAGAAAAAATAGAAGAAACATTGATGTAGACATCTCAATGCTTTCCTAATCTATCAGTGTCTTGTAAGAAAACAATGTGTATTTTGAACCACTCATTCTAGGCAGAGGTCTGATAAATAAATGAAGATCACTCCCTACTACCAAATACTAGTTCCTAAAACCCATCCAAAAGGTCTTTATGTTTCAGAAGTAATCATTCAGTGTAGCAGCAGCACAAAATAAATACAAGACAAAAAATAAATCTCTGCAGTATTTCTGTAGAGGTTCACCATAACTGGGTTCAGTTTAGCACTTTATCATTTATACATAAGCAAACCTCAGAGTAATACAAAACCAAAAATATCCCAAGAAACTAGAGATTGGGTAGCGAAACACTGGAACAGGTTGCCCAGAGAGGTAGTGGAGGCCCCATCCCTGGAAACATTCAAGGCCAGGTTGGATGGGGCTCTGAGCAACCTGATCTAGTTAGCGGTGTCCCTGCTCACTGCAGGGGGGTTGGACTAGATGACCTCTAGAGGCTCCTTCCAACCCAAAACATTCTATGATTCTATGATTGGAACAGTTTTTCACCATCCAGAATGGTCCCAGGAAGAATAATTATGTTCATGTGTGCTTATGTGCAGTGTTTAAAAAAAAAAAAAAAAAAAAAAGGTGGCACACTAAACAGCTGGAAGAGAGAGATCAGCTTGGAAAACAGTCTGACCAAGTCGCTCAGAAGGCAATTCTAACTCCCAGGTGACCTCTGAAACCTGGCTGTCAGCTTCCAGTGTGGTAAGGTGAGCCACAACTCCTGCTCCCTCCTCTGTCTCGTGGATGTGTTCGAATACAGCCACTACAACGCAATCCTCTGAACTCGCTCTCCCCCCTATTTTCTACTCCTCTTAAAAAGAGGAAATAGTATCAAGTGACACCAATGAACAGGCAAGTTCTAAGAAAAGCTTTCCTCTCCACTTTCTATCGCACCTGAAGGTAAGACTTCCAAGCCACACACATCACATCTTCAGACTTCCTCTGATTTTCTTGTCTATTAAAAGGCAAAATGGATACTGACCTTTTCATACCAACTTTCCCATGAACAAGCTGCCATCTTAACTTTTGGTATGAAAGACTTTCGTTAAAAGGCAACAGTCATTCAGAAAAAAGTGTAAGCACATTCAACATCTTTTGAAAAAATAACTTGGGGCATTAAAAAGAGGTGTCCTCTCTCCTGCTAACATAAAAAGGAGTAATACAGATGACTGAAGCTATATTCTCTGACATTAAAGCAAAATTTATATAGTAGTTGCACAGGCACATTGCAGCACCTTCTGAAAGACTGAACTAATTAACTTCTTTTAAGGTAGAAAATCGGATCCACCTGAAAAATTTTTGTGTATAATGAAATGATTGATTGCTTTCTGGTACAGAATACTAGATGAGTGACTGAACGGTCCTAAATTAGCACCTGACCTGGAAGTTTCATGCCATACAAATCCTGTATTACCAGCCCTGATGGTAGTGGGCCTCATTTAAGTTATGGTGATGTAATATTATGCTCCGTATGTATAGCTGAATCCTTAATATTTCAGAAATTAACATTTTCATTTAAGGTGAAGGATCACAGGGTTATGGCATGAAAATAGCTACAGTTACTTGCAAACAGAAAAATCTACTTAATCTTTTAATTAACCCTTTTACATGTAACACAAAAATGGATTTTTAAAAAGGGTACTAACTCACATCAAGGAACATCCAAATTCAGTCCAGTGTCTAGTCTTCCTTTACAAATGGAGCAAAAGGGGCAAAGAAAAAACAAATGGTGAAGACTGACCATGTAACTTGAACTAGGAAAAAAAAAATTAAAATATTCTGTTAAAATTATTCTGATTTTGCAGTTTGTACTGCTGCTTTTACTAGGTTAGCATGAATTTAGCAAACCAGAGCGTTCAGACAAACTTGACCTCACCTATGAGATCCAGAACAGACTAAGTCGGAACTTAAAAACAGTTTAGAGGCACGGCATTGTCACATACTTGATAAATTTAAAAGCAAGCAGGGGTGCTATTTCTTAAAATTTAGACAAAGAAGTTCTTTTAAAATACAGTAAGTATTTTCTCAGCTTGTTAATATTTTCACTTTGCAATCGTGTACCACAGAAACCATAAAAATGTGTGTTAGAAGGAACCTCAAGAGGCAGCCCAGCCTAGTCCCTTGCATTGCAAAATGATGCATCCCTGTGCTGTCCCTGCCAGATGCCATCTAATCCCTTCTGACAAAGCTCCATTGAAATTGAGTCCACAACATCCACAGGGAAGCTGCTCCATTTTTCTTTTTCTTTTTTCTATTTCTACATTCTGCGTGGTTCCCCTCTACCCATCCAAGTTTTCAACCTAGGTTTTCCACTTCACATAAGAACCTTTTTTTCCTGCCCTACATAAACAGACATGGCAAATTGATCCCCAACATCTTTAACACAATTTTACAAGTCAGGAACCGGTTACTGTGTCCTCCCAATGCCCCTCCTTCTTTCAGGGTCAAATTTAGCTCCTTAAAGAAGGAAAGACCTAAACACA